AAAAAGTAGACAGCAATTCCCTATTTCGACTTGTTTCCTTCTTTCTTTTTACTCAAATAGGTTCTTTTCAAAGTCTAGTGGGAGCTTTCGAACTAGTCTCAATAGGTAGCCTTTTCCTTAGTAAAGATTTTCAGCATTCTTTTGATTTTTCTTTTCTTTTTATGCTGAAATTTTTTATTTTTTTTCTCAACCACATGCTCTATATATATATATATTTTTTTAAAAATAATAACCTTTATAGCTTTTATGAGCAATATGACCTAGTCAACTTCACAATGATTTTCAATTAAATATCTCAGAGTTGGACTAGTGCACATGAAAAATATGAACTCAAGAGACTCATCCTTAAAAAGAAATAAACAAAACAAATTGTCCTTCAACATATAGATTACACATCAAGAATCTTTTCATCAAATAATCATGTCTCCCCAATTTGGATTCAAAAATAATTAATTCAAGAGAAATAATTATCACTCATGCAATGACAAGAAAAATATGATCATCATTTTCTCATGTAAGAAAAACAACATAAATCCTAAACTGCAAGATATGGTCTAATGGAAACAAGATATTCATCAAAACATAGTCCATGACCATAAAAACTCTTTAGGACTTAGTTAGGGGGGTTTGCACCCATAGACCTAATGGGAACAAGTCTTCTAGCATCAACAGGCACGTAATTAACCAAATCTTCCTTTTTGATCCACACAGTCTTTACATTCAACTTTTGAAAAGACTTTACAATTTCAACTTTTTTCTTGTTTGAGTAATTCTTAGCATGAGAATTTTTGGGTTGATTCACAAAATTTTGCTTTCTAGCATGAACCCTATTCTTAGCATAAGAACCAAAAGCATGAAATTCAGAAAAAGATTCACTTCTCTTCCTGAAGCAATAATATTGGTTATGTCCATTCCTACCACAATAAGTGCAATGCAAAATAGTAGACACATAAGACATATTAGCATGTGATGAATCAACAATCTCAGATTTATTTTTAGGCACATTCAAGTTATTAGGTTTCACAAAAACAGTTTTACCCTCTTTACTACATGAAACCTAATTAAAACCTAAGCCAGTTTTGTCATTCACATTCTTACCAACATTAATCATCTTATCAAGTTTAATCTGCCCAGAAGTAAATCCAATCAATTTTTCTTGTGAATTTTTCAATTCAAGAAATTCCAATTTAGAAACAAGAGATTCATTTGCAGAATTAACTTGACTTACATCACCTTCTAGGAATCTTACCTTTCCATGAAGATCTTCAATCTCCTTCTTTTTCTGTTCACTTTCCTTCTTCAGAGCATCTCTTTGCTTCTCAACTTCTTTCAATTCTCTAGCTTGCTTATTGAAGCCTTTCTTCGTTTGAACATATGTAACATAAAATTCATTGAAGGCTTTATCATAATTCTCCTTGATTACTTCCTTGTAACAATCTTCATCATTAGATTTTGCTATGTCCTCAAAATCCGAGTCATCTATGTCAGACAAAGATAATCTTTTAGAAGCATCATTATTCACAAAAGCAACAAAAGCAAGAGGATTATCATCATCATTAGAAAAATCATCAGAAAAAGAAGCATTTTTTATCTTTAGAAACTGAAACAATCATTGTTTTATCCTCTCTCTTTTTTTATCTTTGGACTCTTTCCTAGCAACAAAGTTATTTTTAGGACTTGGACACATTATTGATGTATGACCTATACCACCACATGTCCAACATTTAATCTCAGTTCCTTTAGACTCCCCTTCTCTCCTTTTATCTTGTCTCTCACTTCCCCTAGATGAAAACTCTCTGTTCCTAAACCTTGACTCTCCCTCTTTCTTAAATGCATTCATCTTTTCAGACTTGATCAAATTTCTGAACTTCCTAGTAATGAAAGCAATTTATTTATCAGACTCACTATCATACCTAACCTCAGACTTGGAAGAATCAGACTTTGAAGCTTTTAGGGCCAAGTCTTTAGGTTTTAGGGAATTTCCATAGTACTTCATCTTATAGTTCTTAATATGACCTACAACCTCATCAACTTGCATGGTAGTGATGTTTTGAGTTGCTTACAGTGTTTCAACTTTGATTCTGAACCTTTCAGGTAAAGACCTAAGAATTTTCTTGTTAATCTTCTTATCTGTCACTTTCTTTCCTAGGTTTCGAAGGCCAGACACAATATGGTTGAGTTTCATGTAAACCTCATAAAAGGTTTCATCTTCTTCCATCTTAAGATTTTCAAATTGAAACACAAGCATCTCAATCTTTGAAGATTTGGCTTCATCTGTACCCTCATGGGTAAGTTGAAGTATATCCCATGCCTCATTTGTAATTTTACAATGAGCAATACGAGCTAACTCAAATTGGACAACATATTTGAATAAAGAAAACAAAGCGTTAGTGTTTCCTTCTTGAGCAGTATTCCCAGCTTGAGTACACTCAGACTCTTCCTTTTCAATGATAACACCATCCTTTGTGACTGTAGGTATTTTATAACCTTTTTCAATTGCAGCCCAAACATATTTACCTTAAGTCATAAGAAAAGCTGTCATATTAGGTTTCCAAAAAGCATAGTTATCACCATCAAACAAAGGAGTACGTTGAATAGATCCACCTTCCTTAAGAACGCTATCCATATCAAATTTTGAAAACAAAAACAGAGATTTTTTTATTAAAAAAAAAAATTCCACAAGGAACAACTCAATGTATAGATGATGTCTCTGATACCACTTGTTGAGTATGCGCAGTGGAATGGTTGTGGAATATAATATGGATAGATAACCTAGAGGATGGTAAATATATTTAACTTGCACTGTTATCTAATTTTTACTTATTTTAATTTTACCGAAATAAAACTAAAATCAAATCACAAAGCAAAAATAAAGTGGAAGTAAAGTAAATAGAGTTTGAGAGATGACACTAGGATTTTATCGAGGAAACCCCAATTAGTAGAATAGACCAATTGTAATAGGAAAAACCTCGTTGGACTTTGCAGTCCTAAGATAAACGATCCACTATGTTTGAAGCAAAGTATACCGAACTTTGACTCAGTCTCACACCCTATCGTTCTACCAAAAACCAATTGCTGACAATCCTTGGCTTTATGACTCCCCCGTCGAACATCTCTCGACCTCAGGCTAACTCTTGATCTCTGTAAAAGAGTTGCAGGTAGATTAGACAACACTCTATGAATGTTCTGACTCTTCAAAGTGTGATCGCTTCACCCTTTTTCTTCTAGATCTGAATTTGATGAAGAATGAATAAATTCTGCTTTTCTGGAATTTCTGAATCTTCGATTATGCTTCAATTCCGATGAGATAGAGAACAACACTCCTAAATCACTCTTGTGTTTATGTGTGTGCTCTCAAAAATAAAATTAGAAAAATCATATTGATTTTCTGAATGAATAAAAATATCTCTCAAAAGGCTCTTAAGTAGATCTGAATTTTTTTTATGCAAAAGCCACACCTAAACCTATGTGTATGATATGGTTTATATAGAGTTTAGAATGTCCTAATCCCTCTGAATCTATAAAAAATTTCGTGCATAGGATTTGGTACAATTCTAAACCAAATAGGAAAGAAATCAGAAACAGAAAACTAGAATTGTAACCTGAACAGGACTTCTTGAACCGGTTCAAAGGTGCTGAACCGGTTCAAGTTTGGCAGAAAGATTTCGAAGTCAATCTTGAAGGTCTTGAACTGGTTCAATGGGGCTGAACCGGTTCAAGTCTAACAGACTTGAATTTCAGGCTGAACTTGGTAAAAATCCTGTTTTGGAAATTTCTGAAAATATATCAAGTATGGAATGTGTCCTAACCTTTTTAGATTCCTTCCTAAAGTGTTGTTCTTACCATTTTCACGAATGATCCCAGTCATGATAACTTTGAACAACCTTCCACTTTCGCAGTCGCTGTCAATCCCGATATATATTTTTCACAATCTTCCCAAAATATATACATCTCACCGTCACCACCATAACTAGCAAAACATTTCCCTTTTCCTCCTGAGCCACAAAAATAGAGAATATTTCTTGTATGAACACACACTACGATTTTACTCCCCATAAGGAATACTGGAAGCAAATTAAATGGGACTAGAAATGAAGTCTTTCATTTAGAAGAGAAATAAATGCATTCAGGCTTAGTTTGGTGTGATGGAATGGGGGTAGAATGGAATGACCATTCCACTTTCTCATTCCTTTCTCTTGTTTGGTGTGCCATTTTAAAAGTGGAATGGTCATTCCCTTGGAATGCTCATTCCAGCTTTTAGATGGAATGACCATTCCTCTTTTGGACTTGTGGAATGGCCATTCCATTCCCACTAAATTAAAATAATAAAATGCTAAGGACAAAAAAACCATACGTATTCTTCTCTACAAGAGATCTGACAGGCCCTCTCTCCATCTCTCCTCTCTCGCTATGTCACGGTACACGCGCTCTCTCTCTCTCTCTCCTCTTTCTTTCTTCACGCATAGTATAACATGGAATATATATATATTTGCAGTTTGTGCTTTACAATTTGTTCTATACGTATTATATATATATATATAGATATTGGAAAGTATATAATATGCATATTATATCTATATATATATATATATATATATATATATATATAATATGTATATCATATATCAGGTGGTTGGGGAAAAGAAAAGGAAAGAGAGGAATTGAGTAAAGGAAAAAAAAGATTCTTTTGCCCATACGAGAATCCTTCTTCCTCTCTTTATTTCCAACTATAGATCTTCATATACGTATACACCGGGGAAAAGAAAAGGAAATAGAGGATTTTATTTAAGAAAAAATATATATTTTATAAATCATTTCATTCTAGTTTTTTATTTGATCTAACCAAACATAAGAATGAGAATGGTTATTCCATTCTCTATTTGTATCCAAACAATGGAATGAGAATGATCATTGTATTCCCACATTATTCTCATTCTATTCCCACTTGCATTTCATTCCTGTCTTATTCCATTCCATCACACCAAACTATGCCTTAGAGTATTGATCATTTATATCATATAAAACGAAAAATTATTAATTACAACCATTGCAAAGTGTCAGCTATAAACATTACTAACATTAGAGATGTAATTTCCATTCATCTGATATTCAATAATGGTTTTAATATATAAACTACTAATATTTCCATTTGATGCTTCACATTGTGCACTACTCTCTCTCTACACTGTGGAAGAAGAGATCACATTAGCATCTATGAGGACTTAGTACCCCACTACACTTACACGTGTGTTCTCCACACCCGTAACAGAAAAGCCGTCCACATCTGTAAAATCAAATATGGTACAAGAGGAATAAAAGAATAAATATGGTAAAAGATGAATATAAACAATGAAATCATTCCAAGTATATCAAAAGTTAGTACTTAGATAAAGAGTTGTGATCATGCTTGCCAACTGGCTCAATTAGATGCTAATGTTCTGTTTGGCAGGAGTAGGATAGAGTGGGAAAGAAAGGAGGGGAAGGGAGGAAAATGATGGAGTTTTGATTGTGTTTGGTAGAAAAGAAAGAGGAGGGAGCCTTTTCCTCCAGAGCTACTCTATTCATTCTTTCCAAAGTGGAAGAAAAAAAGGAGGGGAAGGGCTCTCCTTCAACATTTTGCACTTATGCATGCATTTTTCCCGAATTCCTTTGATATGTAATGGGAGAATGGTGAATCCTAATCCATCCTTCCTCCTCCTCCTCCCCTTTCCACTCATCCTCTTTTATCCTTCCTACATCCAGTGACCCCCAGAAATAGAAATTCTCTTGAGAGAATGTCACTGAAGAAAAATAAAAGAAAATGAAGACAATTTATTTTTTTAAAAAATGACGAATATGTATTAAAACTTAATTTTAGTTAATAATATTTTTGCTTATTACATTTGAACCAATCAGAGACTATGGTAGAGGGCTATGGATCTTTATACTTTTGGGAAGAGAATATTGAGAGAGAAAAACTAGCCTAAGAAGAGGAGATAATGACGAGGGTTGGAGAAATATGATTTGTGATACAATCTTGAAATTTTTTCACACCGCTCATATTAGAAAGAGCAGTGCTACACATCCTTGAATTAAAAATCTTGTAAGTAAATTATCTCCAATTAAAAATCTTGTAAGTAAACTAAGTTTCTTATTCACCATAAAGAAATCACTAAACATGGTAAAAATTTGTAATTTAAGAGATAGAGTATCCCAAAGTAAGATATATATTGACAAGATTAAATTGAAGTTATTAAGTTATATTAGGATTTGAATTCCATAATTATAAGTTTTGCTATCTTTCCTATAGTAAAAAATTACTTTTAACCAACAAATAAAAATTCATGAAGAATAGCAAATACACCAAACAAAAATCGTTACTGATATTTTATTGTATTTTTTAAAATTTAATTTTATATAAAGGTATATGAAATGAAATGGAGGTATATGAAATGGAAAAAAAGAGAAGATGAACAAACCAACCTGCAGTACACAGTGTTACAGCCTAGGGTTTTCTCAACATAGAATCTGCAATTGGGACACCGAATCCACCTCTTCTCCTCAGCAAGCTGCTTAAACATAATACCAGCTTCCTCTCTCTCATCCTCGTCCATTCTCTGAAAATCCGCGCATTCCATATTCCAATGCCAAGACACCTTACAATCTGCACAAAACCACCTGCTGCAATTGGGACACTCTACCTGGCTACTAACCCTTCCGCCTTCTCTGTCATCATCAATCAAAAGCGCGGAGCAATCGGTGTGGGGACAGTATAATTTCTCCGATCCGGGAATGACCGCCTCGCAGAAAGATTTTCCCCAGCTATCAAACAGCTCCGGTGGCAAAATGTTTCGGCAATACTCTGGTTCCAAAAGCCCGAAACAGCCCGAAACAGGGCATCCAATCTGCGGAATGTTTTCTTGTAGCTTTGAAGCCACATATTTGATCACACAATCAAAACAGAAAGAATGTGCACAGCCCATTATGAGAAAAGACTCATTGTATGACTTTGGCTCAACACAAATTTCACACATAAAGGTTGCAGTATAAATTTTATCAGAAGAAGACGATGATTTAGAATTCCAAGACTCCCCTGTTTCGGTGACCGTAAACAGCTTATTTTTCCTTTTCTTCAGAGAGGGATCTTCGTCGCCGTCAAATGGGTTTTCGATGATCGAGGTATTGGGTGTTGCGGTTGAAAGAGAGGCCATGATTGCGAGCTGGAGGTCACTGTCTTCATCAGAGTACTGGTTGTGATCAGATAGATGTGATATATCGTCATCCTCGTCAAAGATGTTTATTGTTGGAATATTTGGTGTCACGGTGTTCATGGTTGGTCGATGGGCCTAAACGGAAATAGAAACGCCAGGCAAATCAGGAGGCGAAAACGCGATGTGTGCCAACTGATAGAGTCCAACAAGGACTCAAAAATAATAGAATCTTTGTTTGCGTTTAAATCAATCATTAATTGACACAGTTGAGCTTACAAAGAAACTTTGTTCATTTCATTCTATCCCATATAATTTTTTTTGTAATCTAATTATGATTTTCTTTCAAAATATGTAAAATAAAAAAATAATAATAAAATAAAAAAAAAAAAAAAAAAATTTCAGGTAAAATATTCTTTTATTTTTCTTTTTTTCGTATTTGGCAAATGTCTACACGATGTTAAGATCGAGTACATCGAACAGGGCATGTAAAATAATTTTCAAATTACTTAAAAAATCAATGAAATCATGATAACATCAACATCCACTTACATAAATCAATCAAAATTGTCGGATTCTCAAACCTCAAATCATTATCCTTTTTTAAAACTGTCTTAAATTTTTTTTTTTTTTTTGGTTTCATCAAAGATCAAAATATTTTTAAAAGAAAATTTTTAATTTAAAATGGTGACAAGTGATTAGGGATGGAAACGGAAACGGTTTTGGGCAAGTATACCCTCCCCGCCCCCGTAATCATTTAGAAACTCCCATCTCGTTCCTGTCCAAAATCGCCTATCGTCAAACCCCAGTGCTTAATCATTTTCATTAACATGATTTAATTTTGATTAAACATAATTTTTATATAAATATTTTATGAAATGGGTAATTTTGTGAAATTTATGTGGAATCAATTTGAGCTTACTAACTAAGCTAGTACTATGCCTAAAGTAAGGTGTATTGTGAAGGGAATGGTTGGTATCGAAGCCTATTAAGTTTGTGGGAATAATAATGTTTTATTTATTGATACATCATATGGTACGTGGGTGTTAATAAGTCTGATTCCAATTGGTGTGTATTGACTATAGAAGGGTGTGGAAGTTTTTGGGAACAATTTTATTATTTAATTATATTATATACGATATAGGATAAGTTTTACCTACTAAAGACATATATATATATATATATATATATATATATATATATATATATATATTATCATTTAAATGGATAAGTTACAAAGTTCTGGTAGAAGCTTTGGTGCGTGAGGTGATCTATGGTTAGATGTGTAGGTGTTGGTTAAGTGTGGGTTGAATATGTATTGTTACTTTTAGTAAATATACAATAATATAAAGTATTAAATTGACTCTTGGAAGTTTTATGAGTCGGCTAGACAAGAAAAATGCTTTCTTTAGCTACAGTATTAATCACACGCAAAATAAACCAAGAGCAATGAGATTAGAGAGGCCGGAGTAGAGGAGAGAGAAAGGGACAAGAGGAGGAGGAGAAGTATTGGTGACTGTTTGCACAATAACAGTGAGGTAAGAAAGTGTATATGTCAAATTGATCTTTGAGTAATTAATTAAATATTGTTTATTTTTGCATAGATATCATCTATTTACTTATTTCTGAATTGTTTCAAAGGCCATCTTGGGTGAATTGATATCTTGGTTATTTCATTTGAATTTTTAGGTTGGAAACTGATGTAAAGACTTGTGATCAGAATTTTAATTACAATTGTATATTAAGTTAAGAGTTATTATTAAATTGATGATTATTGTTTGTAGCACCTTAGAAACAAATATGACCTGATTATAATATTGTATAGGCAAAGAGAAGGGGACGGAAGTTACGATGATACGAAATGACAAATAAATAATTTGAAAAGTAGTTAAGGTGAGTGCACCCACCGGAAGTTTTACATTTGAATGTGTTAATTGATGTATCGATGATATTTATATAAAATGAGGATGTTGATATAATAGGAATATATTATATAAGGTTCATGCTCTGTCCAGTAAGGAGAATAATATATTATATAATATCCATACTCTAGTCCGGAAGGAGAGTAATATTTATATATATATATATATATATATATATATATATATATATAAAGCCCATGCTCGGCCTAGAAAGAGAGTACTATTTTTTAATGTCTGTAAAGTTGTAAGTTATATGTTAATGAAGTTTATTTGATGTTATCAAATAATATTTGTTTATATTACTATGTAATATTGCATTCACTGACCTTTAAGCTCACTCCTTCCATATCTATATTTTTCAGGTACAAGGTTGAGTTGCTACTGCCAAATCTAGAGTCTTAGGTGTGAATAGGAAAGGAACAACAGAAAATCTTTTGTATAAGATGTAAATATTGTAATAGAATTTAGTAGTATAACTTGTAATTAACGGTTTATTTTAAATCGTAAACTATTAAGTAGGCACTCTCATGTATAATGACGTCACTTATGTATAAGGTTAATGCAGATGGTTAGATACATTCCAATTGTTCAATTTAATAAATAGTGTAAATTGAGTTGGGGTGTGTTAGCCTAAACGGGACCTTTCTACCCATTCCCACCCCGTTTAACTTTTTCACCCCACAGGCACCCGCCCCGCCCAGTTTAGTTCCAAAATTTCTCTTCTTTTTAAAATTTTTTTTTTCCTCAAATACAATTATATCACTGTTAAAAAAATCATAAAAAATGAGTAATCAATAATTTAACATAAAATTTAAAGCTACGAGCGTTCTTAATTCGTAGAACTCTGCCACTCTCGATAACGAGTGAGTGAATGTGGCATAGGATTTTTAGAGCTAACTATATATATTAATAAAATAATTTAGTAATTTACCTATCTAAACGGGCAGGGTGGGGTAACCTACCCCGCCCCCGCCCCCGCCGCGAACCCAAGTGGATTTTCATTAATAAAAAATTATTTTCACCCAAATAAGTTAAGCGGTCCCCCAAAAAACTATAAACAAGGCAAAATAGGGCGAATACCTATTCCCGCTAAAAGTCATTCCTCGTTCCACACGCATGAAGAAAAACACAAATCTGATTTCATCTAATATATAAAACTGTTTCAAGCTAGAATTGAAAAATGAAAAATAAAATAAGGGAGAAGATCATTGTAATCCAAATAAAACCACGGAACAAATTGTCATCCCTACGCATCATATAAGACTATAAGAGGAGTCATAAAATATATATATATATAATAATAATAATAATAATAATAAAATAAAATTTGAGGGTCAAGATTTACGGGCCCAATCCATCGTACCTTTAACAATTAAGTTGGTCTCAAAAAAAAAAAAATCCACCTCCCTTTTTAGTACTTTACTTTTTTTTTTTCTTTTGTTTTTTCACCAGCAAGTAGTAAATTTATATTAATCAAAAAGCATTAAGTACATCCAAATGAGCTTTATCTAAAAGATAACTAAGAAAGTTATCATCCCACAATCAATAACTTCTATCCTTCAATACTTGCCCAGTAACTTCATGAGCAACCCCATTCCTTTTTCTACTCACACAAGCCAACAACTAGGCTAATCAAGAGAGATGAAGTACCTTCCTTTTGCACTGCTCGAACAACCACCTCTGCATCAGACTCAAAATAACTTTGTTGTATCCCCATTGAATAACCGTCTCCACCGCTTTTTGAAGCACCAAACACTCGGCAACCGTGGGATCGACCACCCTTTGAAAGAAAAAAGAGGCCAATCGAATCATTCTACCCGTATGACCCCGCAAAACCACACCAACCCCAGCTTCACAAGAGCTTTTAGAGAAGGATACATCCGAATTTGCCTTTAGAACATCCATCGGAGGAGCATGCCAAACCACTGAATTACCTCTGCGACTATCAGCATACTATCTAGAACTCTGATCAACAAGAGGTTTGTCAACATAATTAAAAAACTCTAAGCATTGAGCCTTTCCAATTCTTACAATATCCGCAACATCCCACCATTTCCTTTCAAAGCACCACTTATTTCTGGCCTTCCAAATCTGCCAACGCAAAAACCCAGCAATGCTCTTTAACACTTGCTCTTCACTAGAATTAGACCATATCTCCATCATCGATCTCCACCATCTATCCCACTGCCCATGCCCCACCTCAATACCATCCAACCCGAGCATGGATAGTTTCCACACCAATTTCGCTCTTGGACATCGACATAAAAGGCGACTGGTAGTTTCAGGTTCACTATCACAAACTTTGCAGGTAATTTTATCCATCATTCTCCTCCTACCCAAACTTTCAAATTCTGCCACATCCTCATTCAAGCATCTCCAAAGAAAGTGTTTGATTTTAGGCTTAACCTTTAATTGCCATAAGCCTTTCTATTGAAATTGTTTCTCCCTTCGCACACTTGATTCACCTTCAAAATTGTTGACGTTTTGATTATTACCTCTCTTCAATCGCAAAGCAACATGATATGCGGACTTAAAAATAAAAATTCCATTAGAGGTAAATTGCCACCATTGCTTGTCCATTCCTCCCATTACCCCCAACTGGATCAGAAGGATTCTCTTCCAATCTTCTTCAACAAAAATTTGCTTGATTAAATCCTCATTCCAGACCCCTGCAACAGGATCAATTAAATCTACAACTCCGAAAATACTAGAGTTTTGTGGAGTTGGAGTTAATAGGATTGGATTGTGGTTATCTGGAATCCACCTATCTTCCCACACCCTAATATTCTGACCATCAGCTACTATCCAAACAAGACCAAAAAAACTCTGCCAGATGGATTCAAACTCTTTTCAGCCTTAAGGAACTCGCAATGAGGAAAATACTTACTTCTGCATAACTGAAAAAAGAGTCATTTCCTCTCAACTTGTAAGCTCCAAGTTTGTTTAGCTAACAAAGCAATATTGAAGGCTTCCATATTCTTTAAACCCCAGACCTCCTTCATTCTTATTTTCGGTCATTTTCTGCCAACTAGTCCAATGTGTGGTGTGCTTCCCCGTGTTTCCACTCCACCAAAATTAAGAAATACTATTTTTGATGGGTATTTTGAAACAAGACATAGTATAGGCTGGAATAGCTTGAAGAACACTCTTAACCATAATCTCTCTACGTCCAGCTGATAGGAATTGCACTTGTCACCCGGTAATTTTAGAGTTAACTTTCTGTTCAATATACCCAAAAAATTTTGTTTTAGATCTGCCCACCACTGATGGAAGACCCAAATATCTTTCATTCATTCCTTCCCGTGAAATGCCAAAAATATTTCTGACAATATCCCTATCCGCCGAAGGAGTGTTACCGCTGAAGAAAAGAACTGATTCATCCATGTTAACGGATTGCCCAGAAGATTGTAGGGGTTCTTTTCTACTAGGTAATAAAACAGTAATAAAATAGAGATATTAGGAATACAAATACGAAGGAAAATAGAGGAGATGCTCAGTGCAGGAGAAGGAGAAGAAGGCCAACTAACAAGATAAAGATGGTGGTAGGGCGAGTATACAATATTTCATGACAGCTTTTCTTTCTTTCGGGGGTTGGTTCTTTCTTCATAGGACAGTGCCATTTATAGACCTAGATTCCATTGGTTATTATCCAATGGTTCCTTCCATGCATGATCCCTCGCATGCATCACCCCCAATCCGGATTATGTGAGTAATCCTGAAGATTTAGGGGTCTAAAGGGTCTAATCCTTTCCTCGAGCCTTGTCCCACGTTGCCATGTCACTTCTCCCCTAATCAGGGGCATTAAATGTTGCTTAGCCGTCGGTTTGTCAAGCCT